CCCACCCACACACACACACACACACACACTTGTCCCTCATACCCCACCTCACCCACCCACACACACACACACACACACACACACACACTTGTCCCTCATACAACTGTTCGGGTCAGCACCCTTTCTCACCTTTTTCTCTCTCTCACACACACACTGACAAACACGTCACACACACACACACATCTGTTCTCCTCGAGCCTTGTCGGAGCTACAAGACACCTCGAACTTCAAGCACAAGTGTCAGGCTGGTAGACATAGGGAATAACAGAACATGTACTGAACAGGTGCCTTGTGGGCCGGTCAAAATGCAGGTTGGCGCCCTCGGTGTGTGTTTTTTGAGCCTATCTGACAGAGGCCTGAAACTGAATGTTCCTCTCTCCGAGAACACCTTCCCTGCGTCGACAACCGGAGAAAGGATCCAAGCGAGAGACTCCACCCCTCGACTCAGCTGTCCGAACGAATCTGGGTATCATAAAGGACAGAGAGGATCCGAGAGAGACTCCACAGAACATGAGATCCCGACTTCGTGACGGAACTCTAGTTGTCCACATGGCACTAAAATCTCTACCACATGTTCGGCAGATTGGATGCCCACAAGGTGTTTTAGTACAGTTTTACTATTTTAGTACTTTTTTCACAAATAAATTGAGAAAATAATTGACAATGCGTTTCCGAAAGGCTTTGAAGTGAACAAAAAAGGAGAAATCGGGGTTCAAATCCCAACTTTACGAAAATGAGCCATCATCCTAACATCCTGTCATTTAATTATTAAATAATATTAATTAATGTTTATGTCATTTAATTACTATCTGTTCCAGTTTGCAGCTATTATTATCCACGAAGTTGTGTTACCTTGGTTGCTCAGGCAGTGCGGCTGGGCAAGGGCCAGGAAAGGACCCTGTTAAGAAAAAAAAGAAAAAAGGAAAAAGAAAGAACGGAAGAAAAAAACAAAAAAAACAAATCCGAAATAAAACTAGTAAACTACACTGTACAGAAAAAATAAACTGAACAACTTTTGCCTCAGGGTCGGATCGGAATTCTTTGCAAAATAAATTTAATAAAACAGAAAGAAAAAAAATAAATTAAAAAAAAATATTTATTTTTAAAATTTTAATTCCCTTTTGGCCTGGCTGGGCAAGTCATCCGAGGCCACTCCTTTTTTTTTTGGGGGGGGTCATTATTATAGTATATTACGGGGAATCCCGTAGCCGCCACATACGTGCTCAAGCCTCCAATGAGGGAACATGCGGGAGCTGCACCCACCAGCAGGTGCGATACCTGCTACAGCAGGTGGGCGGCACCGGTCACGGGTCAGCCCGGCCGGTACCCATCGGGACCAAGCTTCTTCGATCCCGCACCACTCGGGTAACATAGCAATGAAGCTAAAAGCCTAAAACAATAATAATTCAAAAATGTCATCCAACATATGTGATGCATGCAAAAAGAGGGAAATCTTCAAATCTCACTTACCGCCATGAAAGTCTCGTTGTTCTCTTTCGGGAATGACGTTTTGATTATCCATCGGCCATGATAGGTGCTCGCACACAATCCCTTGTGCCAAAGGTTCGAAGCAGCGGAGAGCTTCTCAGAATAGTGGGGCAGGCAATCAAGCGTCCCGTCCGAACAATCCCGATCCCCGTTCACCATCATCATACCATTTAGAAAAACCCAGCACAGGATGGTCAGATCCGGACAGGTGAATGTCAGCAAACTTAGCAAAGTAAAAGTAACCCCCCCCCTTCTCTTACCAAAGTAACCTCCCCTCTCTTAGCGAACTAACCCCGCTCTC